CGCACGCTCGCCTAATTGCATTCATACCCTTAAGACTCCCCCACTTTCCCCAAAAATCCTTGGCACACCCCTTTTCGCACTTCCAGGCCCACATCCCACTCCGATCAGGAAGTCGCGCTGGGCGTGAGGTTGGTATCGGAGCCCGACACGTGGCTAGGGTCTTAGGATTGATAGCACGTTAATTAAGCGACCTGGCCAACCGTGGGCGACCTCGCCCTTGGAACGCGCATAGACGCGACCCTATCGTCACCAGAAGCAGATCGGCTAACCGACGAGCCGCCAATATGGCTGCCAACGTGCAAAATCCGGGTCGGCAACAAAATGCTAATCCACCTAATCAACCTGCCCCACGTGCACGAGCTTCCATGTCGCCACCAAATCTCTATCTATTTGATCCGGCGCACCATCTCGCAGGGGCATGGCTGGCCACGCTTAGAGCACAGCAGTACGATGATCACGAAGCACAGATCAACATTCCGGCTCGAATGGGAGGAGACGCTCATCATTGGTATAGCGCCTATGTATGGGTGGATCTCCTGACCTTCGAATGGGATTTCATGAATCGATTTGATTATGTTCACCCTGAGCAAGCGCTGTACATGATCAAGGACCGAGTGCAAAAACCGCTCGAATCCGTTGCGGAATATCGAAACTGGTTCTACCGAATGTTCGTAAAAACTGAGCGAGGTGAGCAAGTAGGGAGAGATCTTTTCATTGACGGCCTTCGCAGTCGGACAATAAGGGCTAAGTTGTGAAAGCAGTTTTCCCCCATCACCCATACGCTACAACAAATTATGGCTGCTGCGGAAGAAATGGAACGAATGTTCGCAGCGAACTTCTTGGAAGAAGAAGATTACCCTAGAGACGGAGATTCAACCGAGCTCGCTCGAGCAAGAGCAGAGTTGGCTGCTTTACAGAACAAATTTGAAAACATGGGGTTTGTATCAGGACCTGTCACCTATATGGAACAGATAGGCCCCAAACGAGTAATCATAAGTGAGACTCCGAGCATCTCTGCTCCTATGATGCCCCCACCCGTCAGGACATTACCCCCGCCGTCGGTAGAGGCCCCTGTACGATCAAACGAATCAGCGGTCATTTTCGAACTAACCAAAACTTTGATTAGTTTGATCCAAGAAAGCAAAAAGGAACAACGAGAGCACAATGCTCGGCTGGAAGCCATGATGAGGAACATGCGACCTATTGCGGTGCGTGCCCCTCCGATGCAACAAGGATTAGCCCCTGCCCCTGCTCTCGGAGGAGCTGCGAACAATCTGAATGTTTGCTACGCCTGTCATCAGCCCGGACATCTAGCCCGTGATTGCCCCCACCGACCCCCACAACAGCGGATCGGAGTCGCACCTATGGCTGCGGCTCCCATCGCCAATGGACCTGGACGAGTCGGAGCCTTGATGGAAGAAGTAGAGGGTGGGGGAAGTGCCTTGGCCACCACGGAAGAGGCCGCCAAGCTAATTCCGCTAGATCAGTATGTGTCGCTGGGATATCCTGGACTAAGAATGATCGGAACAATCAGACCAGCATCAGAACCGAAAGAGGTGGCGGAGTGGTGACCGTCCTTAGGAAAAATGGAGTCGGGAGGACCCACCTTCGTCACAGGAGAGATCGATGTGCTAAACATCATCTGAGCCTTGGACCATCGGATTCCCCTTCCGATCGGTCATCTACTCTCGATCTCCGAGCAAGCCAACGAGCGAATGTTACAGCACTGTAAAGCGAATCGAAAGCGATTCGCTCTCGCCCGAGCACCGAACGTCAAAGCCAAAGGCCCCGCGCCAGAAGAAAACCCAACAAGCACTCCGGATCCGATACGGATAGAATTAATTCAGAAAGACGATCATTTCCTACGGATTAAACCCATTCCGTGGAAATCCGCAGAGTGCGATATAGAAATTTGGGGAATTCCTTACAACGCCATTATAGACTCAGGAGCAGCTGTGTTGGCTATTTCACTAAGAGTGGTCGAAAGGGCAGCCAGGAAAAACGATCTGATCATGCTCACCGAGAAAGATCAGCTCGTCTCGGCAGATGAGGAAAAGATTAAAACTGTGGGGAGAATGACCAACGTCGCCCTCCGATTAGGAAAAGTACACGCGCTTGGGGATGTCGTAGTACTAGATGTTAATACGTACGACGTTTTTTTCGGACTTCCCGCTCTTATGGCGTTACGAGCAAACCTGGATTTCGAACGATGATCGATCGTCCTACGAAATACAGGAGGAAAACCCTACGTGGTGCCCATGCGATTGACCCTTCACACTACTATTAACGAGGTTCCGCGGGTTTCGCTGATGATGGTAGAGACTCTCCGCATGATCTCCTGGGACGAACCCGCAGAAGGGAAGCCATCAACTGATGATGCGGAAAGCAGTGACGAAGATGATCCAGAGATCTTGAAATTGGTACGACAACGCGTTTACTACCCGCCGCCCAAAACGATAGCGAGAACGATGCAACTGACCAGCCGAAAAATTCAAAGGACCAAGGCGATGATCTTGGGAGAGCCTCTCGTGCAGATTTCGAGGATGGTCGACTCTTTGGAACCCCCTCAAACTCTGTACGAAGGGATCACTCCTCTCCTCGCCAGGTATAGCGACAAAAAGCATTATTGCGACATTACGGAACTACCTAGGTCTTTACTAACATCGGCTAAAGAAGTGAAATTGTTACGCTTGGGGGCGGAAGCAAGCTCTCTGGAACCCCCTGGGCGTTTTGAAGCAGAAACAAACGGATTGGGGATAAAGATCGCAACTAAGGAAGTGCCATGACAGGATGTCTGCGACGGGATTACCCCGGAAGGACATGTTGCAATCCGAGAAGAAGATGCTCAGATAATGGCCACGGTGTTCTCCTGGCGATCGGATCATTCATTCATCTCGGCGCCTCCACCCGACTTGACAAAGCAGGCGAACACGAAACAGATTGACTTTCGGATCTGGGACCAACTTTTTGAACTGCACGTTCCACAATATGTGCCGGATGAAATCCACCGGGTAATTGCGGATATTCTAACGGAATATCAAGGAGCGATTAGTGTGTCAGACACTGATATTGGGTTGTCGTTAGTAATCCAACATGAAATTCAGACAGGAAATAATTCCCCGATTCATTGCAAACCTTATCGCTATTCCTTGATAGAACGCAAAAAGGCTCTCGAACGAATTCGGGAGTTCGAAGCCAGCGGTTGGATTGAACCCGCTACTGGACCTTGGTCTTTTCCCGTAGTGTTAGTACCGAAGAAGAACGGAGCGATTCGCATTTGCATTGATTGTCGCAAGCTGAATGAAATCATGATCAAAGATGTGTATCCCCTCCCCCGGATTGATGATTTGTTGGATGCGATTGGGTGCGCTAATTATTTCAGCAAGTTTGATATTCGGCATGGCTTCCATCATATTCTGGTAAGGGAAGAAAATCGACCGAAAACGGCCTTTGTGTTGTTTGAAGGCACGTGGCAGTGAGTTCGGTGTCCGATGGGGATTTCCAATGCGCCTGCCACGTTTCAGCGAGCGATGAACATGACGTTCCAGAATTTCATCAACAAGACACGGCTGACGCAAGGGATGATCAACTTCTGTGTGATCGTGTACATGGACGACATCCTGGTCTATTCGGAGCCCTATCACGGGCACGCGCAACACATCGAATGGACATTGGGCGCACTGAGAGATGCTGGGTTCAAGATTGCGCTCGAGAAAAGCGAATTTTTCCTCTCAGAAATTTCGTTCTTGGGCTACGTCGTGACACGTGGAGGATTGCGGTCGGACTCGAGAAAAGTTGCGGCGGTGAAGGAAGCCCTGGTTCCCACGTCACTGACGCAGGTTCGAGCCTTCTTAGGACTGGCGTCGTACTACCGGCGCTTCATCAAGGGCTTTGCCGCGATTGCACGACCGCTAACGAACCTGTTACGGAAGGACCAACCTCTCAGTTGGGACTCGGAGTGCCAGCAGGCCTTTGCAACCCTCAAAGACGCTCTGGCAACAGCCCGTATTTTTATTCGGCCGGACCCCTCGAAGCAGTTCATTCTCATCATGGACTGGCAACCGGAAGCTATTTCCGCTATTCTAGCACAGAAGGGGAACGATGGTCGCGAACACGTCATCGAGTACGCGTCTCGAACTGTACCGGACGAACGAAGAAACGACTCCGCACCTCAAGGCAAGTGCTATGCGGTAGTTTGGGGAATCCAGCACTTCCATCCGTATCTCTACGGACAGAAGTTTCGCCTCGTAACGGATCACGAGCCTCTGCTGGCGCTGAAGAAGCTCACCAACTACACGGGCATGATTGGCCGTTGGGCGGTGCGACTACAAGAATACGACTTCGATATCGTTCATCGAAAGACAGAGCGGCACGGCAACGCGGACGGGCTGACACGTCTGCACCGACCTGTCACGGTACCAAAGGGCGAGGAAATTACACCGTGGAAGGAGCCAGACCTGACCAATGAGCCTAAGTACGGACAAGTGGCAGTCCTCCCACGTGGCAAGAAGCAAAACGGTGGCGATGGGTGACGGAGGTAACCCCACTACCCCTCTTTCTCCCCCTTCCTCCTCGTCTCTCCTCTCCCTGCCTGACAAATTTTGCTATTTTTGCGAAGCCATCTCCCGCGTCTATTCGGTCTCCATGCGTCCTAACGGGGTGGGATATGCGGATTGGATAGATTGCCGACAGTGTGTTGCACGGGCCCATGCCTCGTGCATCCAATACAGGAACGATAGTAAACCATGGTTGTGCCCCTTGTGCCGGACCGACAAAATTCCGACCGAGGCTCGCTTTTTGGGTGCCACGTCAGAAGGATTGGAAAAGACCCGAAAGTTTAGAAGGGCCGAAGTATGGACGGATATTGCCTTAATTGCCACCCTAGTAGGTAACCCCCTCCAGGATTTCACCAAGGAAGATCGGAGGAGGGCCAACGAAAGGGCTCGGGATTATCGATGGATAGAGGGTAGATTAGAAAAACGAAAAACGGACGGCAGTGGGATTTGGATGGTAGTGCCGCATCCATTCATGCGGTATAACTGGGTTAAGACAGCCCACGGGGAAACTGCGGCTCATTTTGCTGTACGAATCACGGAGTCCGCTATCGACAAAAATGAGTGGTACTGGTCCAATATCCGCGACGATGTGAAATACATTGTCGCCAACTGTCAAGTCTGCGCCGCTGATAAGACGCCGATTCAGCCGCCAAGATCGATAGTGCCCACAGTTGTTGAACGGCCATTTCAAAGAGTGAGCATGGACACTACCGACATAATGGTGCCCCCTGGCCCTAATAGCTGCGAATATTCAATCCTATTGGTATTTGTCGACCATTTCTCGAAATGGATCGAAACGTATCTTTGTCGCACGTGGCAAGCCACGGAAATCACGCGATATGTCAACCGTTTCCTCGGGATGCATCAGGATACGGAAGAGATCCCGACCGATAACGGGGCTGAATTCAGAGGAGAAGTGTTAAAGAATCTGGTCATACATGGCGTCGCCATACGGAACACCGCACCCCATAATCCAATGGACTGGTCGAAAACGCTAACCGGGTGATAAAGACAGCGTTGCGACGAAACATCGCGGCACGGGATCCGAGACCCTGGCCCGATATCGTCGATCACATCCTGGCGGTCCATCGCGGAACGCCCCACGAATCGACGGGGCTGAGCCCCTTCCAATTAAGGACCAATAGCGTCGCTTGCGTTTCAATACCAAGCCTCCCGGACGAGTCTACATTGAACCGACGGCCCACCAGGGCCACGGCTAGGGACA